TTTTTTTTTTTTAAGCTTTTGTCATAGGATGTGTGCACTTGCCAGAGAGAGACAGGGAGATAGAGAGAGAGAAAGTGAGAAATCATCCCCCAGGGAGGATGGTCACACTGCAATCCCTTCCCCTCCATTCTCTTCTCAGGATTTTTGGCACACACATACACACACCTGGAGTGATTTTCAAGGTATCAGGTCTAAGATCTGAACCACTGTCAGCCATGTGGGAATTTAACACTTTAACCGCCATGCCACCTGCTGATCATATAATAGGAATATTCTAAAAGCTTTACTACAGACTAAATGTTGTATACTCCTCAAATTTATATTTTAAAATCCTTACTCTCAAGGTGATTATATTGAGAGGTGGAGCCTTTCAAGGGTGATTAGATTATGAGAATTAAGCCATGATAAATAAGATCAGTGTCCTTGTACAAAGAGATCCAAGAGAGACCCCTCATACTTTGCACCATGAGAGGTTACAGTGAAGAAATAGTCACTTATGAGTCAGGAAGTGGACCCTAGTCAGAACCCCAACTGCTAGTAATTTGATCTAGGTCTTTCCAGCCTCAAGAACTGTAAGAAGTAAATTTGTGTTACTTAAAATTCACCCAGTGTTTTTATTTTTGTTATAGCAGCCTGATAAAAATAAGACAGGTTTAGTGTTAATAAGAGTGACATTTTTGAGGACTAAATGGCACTAGACTTTTCAATAATAATAGTTGAAATTAGAAGAGCTGAAAAACTATCATCTAAATTATAAGGGAACATTTATTTTAAACTTAGAAATTTCTACCCAGCCCAATGAATTGTCAAGAGTTAGACTAGAAGAGAAAAAAATTCAGACATTTAAAGTTTGCACCATGTATTAAGGTATAAATGAAGAATGAAACCTACTAAATCAATGAATTCTACTAAATTGATGTCTCCAGGTCAGGGAAAGCAGGCAAAGAGAAGTCCCAGCTTGACAATTATGTAACAAGCCTGGAGAACAACTAGTCCAGAATAAAGGAGGGGGAGAGAGAAATTTAAGGATGGATGTGTCCAGGAAAACAAACAAACAAACAAAAATATTAATTACTTGAAATGCTTAAACATTCTCTTTAGCTTGAATGAAGCCTACACAAGTCTTCCTGGCTATAGGCTCCTGATCTATCCCCTAGAGAACTTACTTTAGAAACTTGTAATTCTTAAATTCTTTCTCTGCCCATTTGAGATGTAAATCTTCTCCCAGATTATTGACAATTTTACAACCAGGAACATCCTTGTAATCAAGTCCTATAATCAAGAAAGAAAGGGTTCCAATCTAGCCTATCTCATCTACCCTAGACCAATCTCCATGAAAGATAGGAGTCTAATTTAGTAAGTACAGATGGACTCATCACATCGATCCATTTTTCTTGTGTCCTCATCCTCCAGTACTGTTCCACTAGTTCACTCTGATTCTTAAAAAACATTCCTG